AAGAAATTTTTGCTATATACAATGAAAAAGAAAACAATCTTGTTTTTGAATATGTGAAGCTAAATCACTGTTTTTGGAACGAGTCCTTGTAGTTATTTCATGCATATCTATGGTAATTACACGGTCAGTCCCTCATAAATAATTAACCCACCTTAAATCCATGTGAATGTATACTTCACGCAGAATTGGATTTAACCAGACATTTTAGAAATTTGGCATAGCTTGTCCCCATCATGTCTAAGACCCTCCCTTCAGTATTATAGGCCTTTTATTAACAGTTTGTTCAAATCTTCTTAAGACACAGAAGGTAGGGAGTACACACAATACTCGGCCACGCTGGACCCACATTCTCACCCCCAGGCCTCTCAGTAAGCACTGTGTCCAGTGTGTACACCAATGACTCTGATCAGGCTAAGGCTAGGGAGGATTGTGCCATGGAGACTCTGTTGGGGGTGTCTGTCTCTCCATTTCTTTCTCTCTCTCTCAGAACAAATAAATAAACTTTTTTGTAAGTCTATTTATTTATTTAAAATAATTATTTTATTTAACTTTATTTATTTATTAATTTTTTATTTGACCAGAGAGGGATGGGAGCAGCAAGGGGGATGAGAAGGCAAGCCACCAGGTCTGGGACTTGAACCACAGTCAGCCATGTGGGATTCCAGTGCCCTTAACTACCACACCACCTGCTGGCCCTGTAAGTCTTTTTTAAATAAAAACTATGAAGAAGGAAATCTAAATGTAATCTCAAAGGGTTATAATTTAAGCAATGTGAATCATATTAAAGATGAATCTTCATGACTGTCCTTGGCCTGTGAGGTAACTTCTGTATTCTAAGTTTCATGTCATAGAAAAATGTTCCAATGAAAAAAATCTGGGTAATAAATAATGTCTAAGAATGTAGAATTAAAATGACATTTTCTCATTCTGGCCCAAAGTGTAGCGGTTAAACCCTGTGTGGAGGGACTAATATCTCACATGGCTGACACAACTTGAACCCCAGCCCTGGCAGCTAGAAAAATACACTGGAAACATGCATACACATGCCCAGGATCCTGATGGGAAGGAGGGAACACAGGAAAAAGAACTGCGGCATGGGGGAACAGAACAGGCCTTCTTCGAGAGACAGCTCCATGGCTCCTGCGATCTAGCCATTTTGGGGGAAACGGAGAAATGAAGAGGTCCCATTGATAATTCAGCCTCCAGCATACAAAACTTGAGTGATTGAACTTCCAAATTTGGGAAGAAACCGACCATCCACCAGATGACTAGAAATCGCTACAGGACCACAAGAAATATGGGGAAGCAAGAAAATACCTCTCCTCCAAGGGAAAAGGATAACTCCTCTTCATCCACACACAGTTCAATGGAAATCATGGAAATGTCTGATAAAGAATTCAGAACATTCATAATGGCAAAGCTTACAGAGATGGAAGAGAAGAGAGACAATGAACTGCTGAAGAGGAAGGAGAAAGGAGCTGAAGAGTTCCAGGAGGTGAGGAAATTCATGCAAGATCTAAAAGAGAAATTTCACACTTTACAAAAGAATCAGATGGAACTGTTAGAGATGAAGGCTATAATACAAGAAGTCAAAATTTCCCTTGAAAGTATTAAAAGCAGACTAGATCGTATAGAAGACAGAATCTCAGATGTAGAAGAGAAAACTGCTGGCCTAGAAAAATACACCACGGGACCAGCAGTTAGCGTAATGGCTATGTTGCTGAACTCCCATGTAGTCGACCGTGGTTCACGTCCTGGACCCAGTGGCTTAAAACTCACGCCAGGCACGTTGCGTGCATGCCCAAGATTTCGAGAGGAGAATGGAGGAGAAGGGATTATGGAGTGGCCATCCCCCCTGGGGATAATTTCTTGCTTTCTGTCTCTCTGTCTGTCTGGCGAGCACACACGCCCTATCGCAAAAACTCTCAAATAAATAAATAAATAAATAGAAGAAAAATCCACCATGAAGACTGAGAAAATGGCCCAAAAATTTGAGAATAATATACGAGAAATACTAGATACAATTAAACATCCGAACATCTGGATAATAGGCATCCCAGAAGGCGAAGAAACTCATAAGGGCATTGATAATCTATTCCATGAAATCCTGCAAGAAAACTTTCCAAACCTGGAGAGGCACTCAAAGATTCAGTCCCAAGAAATACAGAGGACCCCTAATAGAATCAA